TTTGGAGTAGTAAAATTAAATGTTAAATATAAAAAACTTGTTGGAGCATTTCAAAATTTTAACTCTCTAAATTTATAGATACTCTCCAAATGATAGAATATGCTCTTTAAAAATAGAGAGAATATTGAAAATGCTCTAAAATTTTAAAGTACTCTCACAAACTCTTTATATTTAACACTTAATTTTACTACTCTAAAAAATATTTATTATTTTTATTTACCTTTTATTTTAACTAGTTTTTCTTTAAATTATTTTATTATTTTCCTATATTGAAAATTGAAACACTTTGAATGCATTTCATTATAGAGAGTGAGTTTGGCTGGAATCTTTAAATTAAAATATTAATTTAAAGAGTCTCTTGGGACATGATTCTAAATGTTGACTCTTTAAAATAGAAAGCATCTCATGTTTTAAGAGACAGTCAAACTCACTCTCTAAATTAAAATATTAATTTAAAGAGTCTCTTGAAACATGATTTTAAATGTTGACTCTTTAAAATAGAGAGCATCTCATGTTTAAAGAATCTTTTAGAGATGCTCATTTGATGGTCATTATTTGGTAAAAATAAAATTTTAAATAGTGAATTTTTGAAGAGTGTGGAGTTAAAAAAATTGAAAGAAATTTTGAATTTTTGTACAAAATATTTTATTTTGCGAATGTATGATTGGAAATGAGTTGATAGGAAAAAGAATTCTAAAATGACCGTGGTCAAACATCGGCAAATAGTATAACTACCGTGTCCAATTCGTGTTGTCCCATGGCAAGCAAAGCCGGTTGGTTTAAGTGAAAGGTACACTGCATCCGCTCTTTCAACTTGACAAGTGGTTGTACCAATTTTTTTAATGAAAAAAGTGCATTTTTGCACAATAGCTGCCAATAACTTAACAAGTAGGATTACACTATTTAAATATATATTCAAATGGATAATTCTTATTGTACATCACCTTGTACATTAAGGTGTCCATAATGAACACTCGACACTCCCTCATTGGAGGGAGTGCCGACCCCACCAGCCCTCCTTCCAATGAAAAAGCATCAGGTGTCCATTATGTAGACCCTTATGTTAGTGGTGATGTACCACTAGCATTACCCTATTCAAATACGTACATTTTGTTTGACACTTGTATTTGGCAAAAATTTAGCTTTTGTTTGAAAAAAATTATTTTTAAAATCAATGTTGAGAAATTTGCTAACTCATTGAAATGTCAAATTAGGTGTAAACAATAATGTACATGTAGCAAAAATCATGGTCCAGGTAATGCCAACCATGTGATAGGTTGGGGTGTCAAAATTTACACCATTGATTTAAAAAATAGTTTTTAAAATGAATGAATGTAATATTTTCATATATGAGTTGTCAATCAAGATTGTAAAAAATATTGAATAAGTAGCATGATTGAAATAAAAAACTAAATTCCATCAAGCACCCGTACATAATATTCATAGCAATGTAGCACTACGTGTCAAAGAAAACTAAATTATTTCTAGCACCAGTTTGGTAGAGATTAAAATTATTTTTTAGTAGATTTTAATAAAAGTTGTTGAAATGTGTCGTTGAGAAGTTGTGTGTACTATGAAATATATAACTAAAATTAAAACCCTGTTTGGTCCA